TCAGAAAGTACCAAGGATTCCACAGTCTATCCTCCTCCCCCTCTTCCTCCTTGCCCCTTCTCCTCCTCTTATTTATTTATTTATTTATTTATTTTTAAATTTATATCCCGCCCTTCTCCTTGCGGACTCAGGGCAGCTAACAACCGGGTAAAAATACAAAAATAACACACTACAAGTTTAAAAATTAATTAAAAGGGAAATATTAGTAATTTGGTCTAATTAAAATTATAATTAAAACCCCCTCTAAAAGTTTCCCCTAGGCCAGTCCCGCAAGCTGGAATAACCATGTCTTAAGGGCGCGGCGGAAGGAAGGGAGATCAGGGATCACCCTGATCTCTGGGGGCAGTTCATTCCAGAGGGTGGGAGCTCTTCCCCTCCTCCTTCTCCTTCTCTTTCTCTTTCTCTTTCTCCTCCTCCTTTTCCTCCTCCTCCTTCACTCCATACACCCCATTCCTTTCTAGCACTGATGATGTTACCTAGTTGGGTCATGAAATGTCTGCAAGGAAACAACCAAGTTCAGAGAGCACCAAGCACCCCCACAAAAACAAGTTGTCTACATCTTTGTTCACTACAGAATAGTTTGGAAAATCAGAAGGAAGGGCGAGTCTTACAGAGAATGTTTTTTTTCCCCTCCCAGTAAACATGAGCTTACCCTTCTTCAACCAGGTGCCCTTCAGGTGGTTAGGTCTCTAATCCCACCGTTTGTTCCGGGAGGGCATCCAAGCTGGAATGGGCTGTTGGATACTCCTCTGCCCTCTTCACCAGCGAGTCTCAAGCCTCAGTCCCTATTTTCTCTACAGGAGATTGTTGACAGAAAGACTAAATTTAGAAAGTACTGACAAATGCTTATTGCAAAACAAAAGCAAAGCACTTCTAGAAAGTGAGTGAGTGTGTGTGTGTGTGCATCTTTGCTTTGTTGGAACAAAAAGTTGAATTTGGCTGTACTTCTTTCTCAACAGAAGCTCTTTCGCAGCTGATCTCAGGCAGGAAGTCAAAATAAGCAATGAAATGTTTCTTTACTTTAAAATCGGAGAGAGCTGGAAATCTTTTTCATACCTCCAGGGTGTGCTACTAAGTGTATTTTAAGTATATTATTGTGCCTCAAGAGAGGTGGGCCTTTCAGAAAGCATTAAAATAAACCTTCCCAAGGTTGTAGAATGTTACTGTTTAAAAAGAATGAAAAAAGAAAACTGGCAAGATTGTTCTACTCTATTCTTCCCTCTGCTGATTCCTGTCCTTTCCTTACCCAAAGAAAGCCAGAGTCTGATGCAATGACAGGAGCACCTTGCAAGGATTGAAAAGCCATCAACACAATAGGAAAAACAGGGGAAAACCTATTTCCTTCCCTCTCTTAGATTATGCCTGCCAGATAGAATAAGGTGTCGTTCACAAACAAGGCTTACCAAGATTTGCAACTGAGAAGTGCTATAGACACTTTTCTCTAGCCTTGAGTTTGTGGCCTTGAGCTACAGTATACTTTGTAAGCACGGTTTCTTGCACAAGCTGCAAGTGCCTGCATTCACACAGCATTCATGAGCTGTGTAGCACAAACCACAGTTCTGAGTCTTACTAACACAGTAAACTAAAACCAAGGCAACCATGTGAAGGCTTAATGCAGTCAATCTAACCCCAGTCCATGAAATGGACTTGCACCAAGCAGTCTGATGTGCTCCCAAAGCAGAGAGAGGAAAATCAATGTAGGTGGGTGGATGGGAGGGAGGGAAGAAGAAAGGAAGGAAGGAAGGAAGGAAGGAAGGAAGGAAGGAAGGAGGAGGGAGGAAGTAAGGAAGGAAGGAAAACGAGGAAAGGGGAAGGGAGGCAGGGAGAGGGGGAGGAAGGAAAGATCCTCCTTCAGAATGAACTTAGCTATCAGAATCTCAAAAGGTGATTTGCTTTTCAGACTTCTATCATTTTGGACCGTTTTTAAGCAAAGCAAATTTTTTTTCAGCTCAAAAAGGAAACTACAATTCAGGCTATTGAGCTATGGGGTTATTCTTTGCTGCTGCATATAAACAAGGGATGAGAGTCCTATTGTACATAATAAACTGCTGGTTCCTTGCAAACCTCTGGGGAAGCATTATTAGATCCTGTTCATCCAGGTGTCACTCGCATTCTGGTCCTTAAGATTCCCAGCCTGCCTTTCCACTGTCATGTTTCAAGAGCCAGGAGCTATTTTCAACATTTCCTTTTCCAAGTGCGACTCGGAATATTAAGTGCCCGGAAATCAGCCCAGATCTTCACTTAAAGGATTTTACTCGAATGATGTGGCTGAGAAACAGATCCAGCATCTCCTGTTCTAAAACTTCAGATTACTCAACCTAAATAGGATTTTCTCTCCCTAAAAGCTCAACTTAGTAGAAAGAAAACTTTCCATAAAACTGGGCTGGAGGTTGCTTCTCCAGCAGGTGGCACAATGGGTGCATGAAACACCACCTACAGGAAAGCAGATGTCACTAACCAGATGTGATATCGTTGAACGGCCTTCCCACAGGGGTTGCCATTATCTTCCCATTATTACAGGTTATCTCTTTTTTTGCCTTGGTTATTTTTCTTGACACCAGAGTATTTAAGGTGAGAATACAGTATGTCCCTGGTGTACATTCATCTGGAGAACTTCCTGAAGAAAAAGTTGGATTGTACACATCCCTACTTTTTGACCAGAATACAGAATAGCAGAGTGGGAAGAGACTTTATAGGTCTTCTAGTCCAACCCCCAGCTCAAGCTGGAGACCCTATATCAGTTTGACTTCCTTATGACCCTGATGCTCAACATCTCCAAGGTCACCTGGGCCTGAGAAGACCAAATGGAGAAGGCCAAGCAGAGACTGAATGGGGTTGATCCTGTTTTCTTGTTGGAATCCATTTCTAGGGGAATGTTAGAATTCTCTTGCTAATGCTGAAGGGGCCCTGGGACAATCTCTAGGGCGCTAGCAGATACATTCACAAGCCTACAAAAATCATCAGGGTTGAATTTGGGTTGAAGGGGGGGTGGGAATGAAGCCAGCAATTCTTTGGGTGTTTGCAGATTCTTTGCAGAAGAACAGAGCAGCTGCCTATTTATGATGTTGTTTCAGTGTTAAATGCTCTCCTGATGCAGAGATGTGGATTCTTGCTACCGCAGAAATAAAGTTGCAGGTGGGATGGAGTTGCATTTTTTTAGAAGTTCCAAAAGTGATTATATGAAATATTTCTCCACTGTTGCTTTTGGCCTTCGGCTGGCTGAGCTAAGGATGAATCAGAGCGATGGAGTTGAAATCAAGGGAAAAAGGCTTAGTGGCTGCAGCTCAAAAGCCATTAATTTTGATGGTTCATTGAATCTCAGAGTTTGGAGGACATGTTCACAGGAAAAAAAAACATCTCTGGTATTAAATTATGTTTATACGCTTCCTGCAGATAAACGGCTTGCCACTGTGGATTTCTGGTGCTATTGAACCTATGCAGAACAGCACCAAAACACTACATGATGAAAGCCAAAACAAAAACAAAAACCCACCCATATATGAAAAACAATCAGTTTGAAAGCATTATAAAGCCACTGGGGAATTTTATTGTAATACTGTAGAGTTTAATCTGGATTTTGATTGCATAGAAGCTGCTTTTCTTTTTTTCCCATTTTGTCTTTCTTTGCTGTTGTTAGCCTCCTTGATGGACAGATAGACTGAGATAGATCTCCAGTAATCAGTTGAATTAATTAATTGGTGTAGTGTTTTCTGTGTATTACAGAAAAGGATCTCTGATAGCCTCTTTGAGACGTCCCTTAAATACGGTTTAAATATGAATTCTTCGGGCCTCAATCTGAATTTCTTCTTGAAAGGGACACAACATGGATAAGAAGAATCTGCCTTTTCAGATTAAGTTTTAAGATTAGGGTCAGGCCTGTTTAGAGTTTCGGTGGAACACCACAACAATCCCAAAACTTTTGGCTAGGCTGGTGCATTTAAGGGGGTGAAGAAAATCCCATTAACTGACAAAATGACAAACATTTTCCATCAAGCTGGCAAGATGGCATGGACCTGCCCACGTGTGGTTACAGGGACACCCTCCTCAACAGTTACCGCCATGGCTTTCAGATTCGGTCTGAAGAAATCCAGACAACCACTAGATGGCAGCAAAGAGTTGGGAATTTTCCATGCATCTTGGCCGCCTGTTGGATTTTTGAAATTCACTTCACGGGGTTTACCATTTTATGAAAAGAGCCCTTTATACCAAGGAGAAATTAGGAAGACAATTTAACACCACAAAG